CCCCAGTTGGGGACATGGAGGCAGCGGATCAGTGATTCTCATCATTGATGTTTCTCTCTCCCTCTCCCTTCCTCTCTGAAATCAATAAAAATATATATATTTTAAAAAGTGCGGTTTGATTTGTTTGCTAAGTCCCAAATGTTCCTATCACTACAGAAGCATTAAAAACCCTGAGAAAAACCACTTGAGGCCAGGCCAACTCCTTGAAGCATCATTTAGTAAATGCCCATTGGACCGAGTGTTCCAGAATAAAATCACATACATTATTCAGCTCTGCAGGCTGGTCCCTAATTAGAAAATGGAAAAGCCTCGTGTAGACGATCAAAATACCTATCATTCAGACTTTGGTGACCAACTAGATAAATATGAAGGGCCCGTGACTTGGTCGAAGTCACAGAACTGCTGCCCAGTGTGAAGCACACAGTTACGCTCTTTGGGTCTCAAAACCAGAGCAGCAGCAGCACCTGCGGTCGGGCCTGCAGAGCCAACAACAGAGAGGATGGCAGGTCGAGTCAGGGAGCCACAAGGAACTTCAATCACCCACAGGCCGGCCGCCACCTTCTCCCATAGGAGCAGAGGGAGCGGGGGAGGAGGAAGCTGGCGAGAGGCATTTCGCAAAGTGGTGGGCTTGGTAGCAAAGGATGTTTTCTCTAAAGACCGAGTCAGGCCTGCAGGCCTCCCGGCGGCTTGTTGGGGGTGGGGTCCCTGACTCTGCACTGGAGGGGGGCTTGGACCTTGGGGTGGATGGTCTGATGCAAAGGGTTAGGCCCTGTTCAGCTCCTGAGTCTTAAAAAATCACTTTCAAAACTCAGAAATTTATGGTCCACTTTCTACTTCTGAGTGGAGTCCGGTGTCCTTCACGCAAATCCTATGTCCACACTCGCCCAGTCCCTCGTGTCTGGAAGAGAGACCTGTCTGCCTTCCCCGCACCGGCCCAGGTGAGCAGGCGGCTGAGGTGTGTGCAGGCCGGCGCCTGCGCGGCTTCCCTCCCTCCCGGGCCGGCTGGGAGGCTCCCTAACTGGCATTTTCCTGGCCTGACTGTGGGCACATGGATACTTCAGCTTCCACACTGCCCTTCTCTTGGCGCCAGGGCTGGGTGGGGAGAACCCCTCTCGGCCCAGGGGCAGTCTGGGGGGCACCTGAGCCTGCTCTGCGGTTCCCCACGCCCACACCTCCGCCCCAGGGCAGCCAAGACCCCC